CCGAACCCTGAACCGAACCCCGAACCTGAACTCTTGACCGTGTACCCGAACCCGAACCCGAACGCCCCCCCCCCCCTAGCGCCTACCGGAACCCGAACCCGAACCCGCCCGAACCCGAACCCCCCCCCTCCCCCCGCTTCAGCCGCGTGACCCGAACCCGAACCCGAACCCCCCCCGCCAGTTCCGTTCCCCCGTTCCCCCCCCCTGGGGTACACTCTGCTGAATTCCGAAACTCTTCACACATGCGGGAATCCTGCAAGTTGCTGTCACTAAGGAAGTGGCTGTGAAATGGGCGCCGCCAAAGCCGCTTAGCGGATTGGGTTCAGGGCTTTTTGCTTCATGGTTCAGGGTTGGCTTGGGGATGGTCTTAGGGTCGTTCAGGGTTTGTGGCTGAGGGCTTATAGCCTCAAATTTCAGGGTTCTTATGATTGGGAATCACAGGGCAGGGGCGCGGATTATGGGGATTGTTAGACGGCCTCTGTGGGGATTCCTCAGGATCCATCTCCCCATGCGCCACATGCTGATCTAGTGCTGTTCCGATCAAGCACTCACCTGAGCCCCCAAACCTATACTCTGAAGCTAGTGCTCGGCTGGGAGAACCATGCGATTTGGGTCTTGCGGCAGCGTGACTTCTTCGCCTGTAGTGTATGCGCTATGGTCGGTTGGTTTCAGCAAGGATGTGGCTGCTAGGGTTCAATCAGCGCGTTGCCCCCTCAAACTGTGGTCTAGCCTCTTCTCTTTCTCATATCATGATTCTGCTCTTGGTCCAGCTTGCTGCTTACTTCAAATCTGCGAAGTCAATGCGATGTCTACTCTTGCCATCTTGCACTTCTGCATTGCAGGAACGACCACGGGGCACCAGTGATTGGATACAAGATCTCCATCCTGCTGGATCCGCAGCCGAATGCGCTGCCGGAGTGGTATACTCTCTGCGAGTGCACCAAGTCCCTGAACCCTGTGCAACCTGGCTGAGCTTCTCAAATTGGGGGACCCAGAATGGAAAAGAAAATGGAAACCATTATAGTACATTGGGGTTATATTGGGATAATGGACAAGAAAATGGAAACTACTCAAAACTTCACAGCGCCTGCCCAGGATTTTCCTGTTTTTGTGAATGGGACTGCGAGCCGCGGGATGTGTGAGAATATTCACATCATAGACTAGACTAGAGTTTTCAATCTGGATGTTTCGGAGGACTCTAGGAAAAGGGTTTTCTTAGGATCGGTCATCATTGTCCTGGAACTGGGTAGGCCCCTGGGATATTTAATATTTTCCTGAATGGCTTTAATAAGGGGCCCTATATATTAATATTTTTCAAAGGGTTCTAGGGGCCAACCCAGGGAATCAGTTATCATTTTCTCTGAGCTAGACGAGACGATCAAAGTTTGGACGTCGCAGGCTCGCTAGTCTCGCGATGGGGGTTTTCCCAACTTGCCGGTACCTTCTTTCGGGGTACCTGTGGTAACGATTTTAGTATCACGGGGTCTATGTTGGGGTCCCTCTATTTAAGGAAACTACCTTATCTATATAGGCTCTAAATTCTTGGGCACCGGGGGACGGTTGGACATTTCTCAAAGCTCGGCTTCCTGGAATGCAGTCTGACCCTCATAATTGCAGGACGGCCCCTCAACCCAAAACCCCAAAAGCCCACCCATAAAGCGAGCTTAAAAAGCTCAGGTATGTCGTGGCAAACCTCAAGGGCAATACGGCATATCTTGTGGACGTCCGGGCCGTGAACAAGGCACGAGATCCGAAGATGACAATGGCAGTTTCCCTTAATAGGGGAACCCAATATAGACCACCAAATACTAATCATAATCCTTATTTTGGGGACCCCCAAAATGGTACACCTAATTTGGGAGACCCCCGAAAGAGCATCATCTGACTTTGGGACAAGGTAGAAGATTGGGCATGAAGCCAGCATAGTCACCGACCCCTCCCACGCTCCCACACTCAAATGTGTCACCCGATATGACCCATAATCTACGCGCCTTTAAGGGCGTTATATTGGGATTAGGGTTCAGGGTTGGGAGATTATAGGCTTTACGGATTAGGGTGTAGGGTTACCCGCCTTGTGCAGTGAATCTTTGATATTAAGGTGTGTGTGTGTGCGTGCAGTATTCGCGGGCGGGGATTATCAGCAACTTGCGTACATGCCATTCAAGGTTGCGCAAATACTGGTTGTAGACTCGCGGTACGCGTGCTTAAACGTGCTGTGTTGGAACATTGATTAAAGCGAATTCCGACAGAATCGCTTGCTCTACCCTACTCGTCTGTAAATGGTAGTTTCCCACCAGGGATCCCCAAAAAGGTACCCCTAATTTATGGAACCCCTCACATACCCCTCAAACTGCACCTGTGTGAAAGGTGGGTGCAGGAGACGCTGGTGAGTTCGAGCAACTTGTCACAGCTGGGTCCTGTTAGATGGCTCCCACATGAAAGAAGTCCCCCTCAAGCAGATAGAATATGGGGTATATTGGGAGCTTATTATAGTATACCCAGAGCCAGAACCTATTACTTAAGGGGGACTATAGGCTTTAGGGTTGTAGGGTTTAGGGTAGGATCCCAAGGCTTCAAGATATTTTCGTTCAGCGTGTATAGTAGCAGATGTGGTTTGAGCAAAAGTCAGGAGTAGCCCTTTGATTCTGAAGCACCCTTGTATGATTGGGGGATTACCTTTCGAGATGATGTAAACATAGTATGATTGAAGTAAAGTGTTGATTTGGAAGCAAGACCCTGGCATGGTTCAAGGAGGTTTCCCGGAGTCAAAAGTAAGGCATGCTCTACACGGCACAAGAGGGACATTCATGGGAGTAAGGACGACTTCACAGCATGATGTTTTGACTATATCTCTTATGGTCTAAACTCCTTAAGAGAAAGTTATGTAGGGGATTATATGGGGGACTATAGGGCTCATGAAGGGTGCTACCAGGAGCTTAGACTATAGCCCATATGTCATGGGGGAAGCCTTGCCTAGCTTGAGGTAGGAGTAGCCAACTTGAAGGAGAGACTCCCGAAAGAGTCCAAAATCAGACTCTACTCAATCAGGGTTTAGGGTTTGGGGTTTAGGGTGTAGGGTGTTTGGGGGTCCTTCTTGTGGCCCGGCTCCTGATATTTTCTGGGGATGGTAGACGATTCTGGTCGCATCGACATGCAAGTTTGGCTCCTCACTGAGGATAGTGACTGCACCAATCCCTCCAGACCCACCGAGCAAGCCCTGGATCGAGGAGGCAGGCTTCACAGTGACCTGTTCGGGGTTTAGGCATATCGCCTAGGGTTTCAGAGACTACATGAAGCTTTCGTGGTTTAGGAGCGGGGTAGCAAGCAGCAGCAGAATCCATTCTAGAGGAAGCCTTCACTGACAACAGGCCTTTGCTGACCTTACAAACCGAAACCTACATCTTGCAAACTGGAAACATTTCTAGGCCATGCACAAAGCACAGAGAGGAACAACATCAATTTTGTGTTGTAAAAACCAAGCAGGGGGTGGTCCAAAGTTGGGTCCGCCTATGGTGCCCCAACATGATGCGTAGTTACAGCACACAGTTCTGAGAATCCACCGTCTGGGCAGTTCGCAAAATGTGGGCTCCCCATGCATGTCCCCAAGTACCAGGGACTGCTGTGGGGACACCCCAAAAGGAATGCAAACCTTTGAGTAATCGCACATGCCATTTATTGTTCTATTATATCGGCGTAAACCCCAAAGAGTGGAAGACCACCAAAGACCACTCTAAGAGCATTCAACAGTACCCTGGCCTTCAGAGGAACACTCTAAGAGCACGTGATCTCGAAAGCGAGGACGCTCCGTGTGACGGCGCGATTTGGAGCCATGAGCCCCAAAAACAACAAGAGTCCGCCAAGAGCGCAACACTTCGCGACAAGCACGCGCACTGGAGTCTTGCGCAAACGTGATCTTGATCCCAAATTGCGAGAACGTTCCACGCAGGAGTGCTTCCCCAAACTCGAAACTGCAAGGGTGCTCCGCGGTAAAATCCACGCCCTAGTGTTGACACAACTCTTGGGAATAACTAGTACGCTTATCATCTCAATGCTCTTCTTGGGGACTTGAGAATCCCGCCTCACATGCTGGCATAGAAGGCGAGAGATGGCTGTCTAAACGTCGCCTGGACACCGCCTATATCGGATGGCGGGATGCTGGGCAGCGTCCTGGGGTTTGCAAGTTTGGGGTCTAGGGCCCGAGGGCTTAGGTTTCGGGAAGGCTCAGGGTTCCACTTTAGGACTTTGGCATCTGCCTGTAACTGGAACCTCAGCCAATACCTACATTTTAGCTTGCTTGCTTGCATGCTTGCAATGCATGCATGCGTGCTTGGGTGTGGTACCAACTTTTTGTCACCAAGTACCTTGTATGTCGGTTTTAGGGTCTTCAGTATTCAGGGTGCGCAGTTTGGGTTCGAGAGACTTAGGCTAAAAAGGCTGCACAGTGTCGGCTGGTTTGAACTCTGTCTCCAGGGTGCGTGCTTTGAAGTTCTGGCTGGGTGTGCGAAGTATGTGTCTAGCTGTAAAGGCATCTGATATGGATTTGGCAGGTTCAAGGGTGAATCGCTCTCTCCTTGGGTGCCTAAGTGCTGACGACTCGTCTTTGATGCCTCCTGAGAATCATCTTAGAGCAGTTCCAAAGAAGTACAGGGAGGGGTCCCCTAGTTATAAGTTGGGTTACAAGTAGGGTGAATATGGTGATAAGTTCCATAAATTCTAGTTATCGGACTTATAAGTATTCGCACGACTTGGGAGCCCCTCCTTCTAAAACTCACAGAGAGCTCAAAAGGAGAAGAGATTTGAGGGGCCGCCTTGAAGAATTCTCTAAACTTGGATACTACAATTCTCCCAGGCCTCTAGAGTTGCCTAGACAACAATCCTCAACCCCTGAAACCAATGTAAGCCATTTTTGCGCATCACCCCCCCACACCTGGACCTACACTTCACCACACGAACAAGGCACAAGAATAGTCACATGTTCAAGAATGCCCATATACGTAAGTAAATCCTTCTGAGCCCTGATTTTGGAGTGTGGAGCTGCATCTGAGGATGCCCATCACAGCTTACAGGACCTGTCTGCCTTTGACAACCAGGGTTCCAAGATGTTCTGAGAATTCATTCAGGGAGATGTAGAGCTCTATAGGCCTATAGGTGCAAGCAAGCGTTTCTTAGGGTTCCTGCGGTGCTGTTAGGTCTTGCTGGCACTCTTTTGTGCGAGATGTTGATTTGCATGCGATCAATAACTATTGTGAAGAAAATCGGTTCAATTTCTTCGATTGATATCCGTCTATTCCGTGGTTCAGTGCGTAAGGTGTGGTTTTGTCACTCCGGTGGTGATGCACCCGCTTTGCTGAATGTGGTAGAGGAGATAGAATACAGAAAGCACATAGCCAAAGCTTACACTGGAGAGGATGTGAGACGGGGTCATGTTCATAGGACACGTTTGAGGAGTTGTTAATTGGGACCGTGTTGCGGTGGGTTTGGCCAGATTGGAGACCCATCACCTAGAGTGCTTGGGTTTCATCGCAGAAGCCAGATGAGAGCATCACGTGTTCCCAGGGGTCCGCATGGCAAATGGTTGGGAGGTTGAGCTCATTCGAGCGCAAGCCGTGCTCTCTTTTGAGCACAGGCATGTGCTACTGTTTGTAGAGACCCTTTAAGGGGAGGCAGTTCCAGCAGCTAAAGCCAGAAGCCCCAGCCCCAAACCCGACGTACTGCTCCCTGAAAAGAACCCTAGGCCCAAGAGCCTCGAAATCGAACTGGGGCATGTCGCTGAAGACAGTTGTCTTGAAGTCTGTAGAAGCTAAGGAGAGCTTGTCAGGGGGCCGTGAAAACCTTAAACCCTAAACCTTGAGCCCCAGCATTGCAAACTTTGTAGATCTCTGAGTGTTATACTGTTACACCCTGGCAGGATTCGAATGCGGAAGATCCTGGGCGCTTCTCGCTGGAGCCTTCCTAGCATAAATCACCGCCCGGAACGTTAAGCTCCCCAGCCCCCCTCCCCTATTACATATTCCAATTGTGATACGATACTATACTATACCATACTATACTATATTGGGAATATTTGATATCAGGGGGGCTAGGGGGGCTTAATATTTGCTTTAGATGAGTAAGTGGTCACGAAGGCCTGGGGCGTGGTTCAGGGTAATGCAGCCCTACTTTGATGGAGGCAAGATTCAGATTCTGTGGAGTCTACATTCTATCCTATTATATAATTTCTATCATATTTTATTCTATTATATTACGGCGGTGCAAGATTTTTCCAACCACGGTACGGAGCCCGAGGTGCGCGGGAAGGGGGGGGTGGGGTTGAGGCCTGTTAGGTCTGGGTGTTGAGCATGAGGAAGGACACAACATGTAGAAACCCAAGAGCAGCAGTAAATGTACCTTGCGCCAAACCTATTGGACTCTGAGCCCGGAACTAATTACCTTAAACCCCGAACCCTAAATCCTAAAACCCTAAACCCCGAAGCCGGAATCCTTGAATCTCAAAGCAAGAAGGTACTTGGAGGCCCATGGGACTTAGTAACTACTTATAACTGGGATTATAACCCTACTTGTAATTGGGGTAACCCCTATTTAGGGGGATTATAATTTGGGTTATAAGCCCAGTTATAAGTA